ATGTTGATCTGTTTACCTGAGAAATCTACACATACTTCAAAGCACTGTTACAACTCAATTGTTCTTGTGTCCCATTTAGCCTACATTTATAAACCTGTGACATTCTCAACAGTCACATACTCATTTCCTAAACCACAACCACCCATGGTAGATTAGAAAGACTATTGTCTTTTAAGTCAAAAAGGACTTGATGAATACCAGCTCTACAACATCAGATACAACATCAGAGAAGTTACTTTAGCTCTTTTGAGCCTATTTCTCTGCTAAAAGAGTAATACTAGCACTAACCACCTCAAATGACTATCAACAGTGAGACAACAGAGATGGTGTATTCCACTATCTCAAGCATACAGTTAAGTGAAAGGTTAAGTACAGAGTAACAACAAAAATGTTTACCTATGAGTCTGAAAGAGGGTTTACGGTTTCCAATACTGAAATGTTAACATTTACAAAGCATTCACTCTGTGCGAAGCTTAGGTGGAAATTTATAATATGAGGCTGATATATCAAGAAAAGGTTAAGAGAGAGTCAGAAGATTTTTTTTATGTTTTTCTTTTTTTTAGCGTCAGAATTACTTGCAAAAGAATGATTTCATTACACATTTAAATAAAAAAAAAACGGCTTCTAGTTTTTAAAATGTATCACAGATATACATCAAAGTATTTGAAATGACATAGTATCTGGGATTTGCTTTAAAATATGACAGTCTCCCAACCCTGTAACCCTAAAAATAAAAGGGTGGGGCCAGGCAAGGTGGCTCACGCCTATAAACCCAATATGTTGTGAGGCCAAGGCAGACAGAACACAAGATCAGAGCTCAAGACCAGCCTGGCCAATACGGTGAAACTCTGTCTCTACTAAAAAAATACAAAAATAGCCGGGTGTGGTGGTGCATGCCTGCAGTTCCAGCTACTAGGGAGGATGAGGCAGGAGAATCACTTGAACCCAGGAGGCAGAGGTTGCAGTGAGCCGATCTCATGCCATTGTGCTACAGCCTGGGTAACAGAGTGAGACTCCATCTCAATAAATAAATAAATAAATAAATAAATAAATAAAGTGGGAATACTTGAAGCTGGGTGATGTATATTGTATATCTGGGGACTCACTACACTATTGTCTCTACTATCGTGTAAGAAAATCTATGGGCCGAGCGCAGTGGCTCACATGTAATCACAGCACTTTGAGAGATGGAGGCAGGTGGAGGTCAGGAGTTCAAGACTAGCCTGGCCAAGGTGGTGAGGAGGCTGAGGCAGGAGAATCACCTGAATCCAGGAGGTGGAGGTTGCAATGAGCCAAGACTGTGCCACTACACTTCAGCCTGAACGACACTAAGACAGAAAGAAAGGAAAGAAAGAAAGAAAAAAGAAAAGAAAAGAAAGAAAGAGAAAGGAAAGAAAGGAAAGGAAAGGGGGGGAGGGAGGGAGGAAAGAAAGAAGAAGGAAAAGAAAGAAAGAAAAAGAAAGAGAGAGAGAAAGAAAGAAAGAAAGAGAGAAAGAGAAAAAGAAAGAAAGAGGAAAGAAAGAAAGAAAGAAAGAAAGAAAGAAAGAAAGAAAGAAAGATAGATAGATAGATAGATAGATAGATCTAATCTATGAACATCATAAAATTCTTTTTTTAGAGACTATCTCACTATGTTGCCCTGGCTGGTACTGAACTCCTGAGCTCAAGCAATCCTCCAGCCTCAGCCTCCTAAAGTGCTAGGATTTCAGGTGTCCGCCACTGTACCTGGTGGAACACCACAAACTTCTAAGGAACCAAGGTCTCCACCTGAAACTTCTAAATACAAGACACTACTGGGGGGAAAAAAAAAGGTGCTATTGGCCATTTCAACCAAGAATACAAAGTATTTTAAAATGACTCAACACCAAGCATGTCTTCTTTATCACATGCTAGGCAGCAGTATCTTCTCTTCCATTGGTATTACTACGCCACCCACTAGAACAGCCCAGGGAATATTTTTTTCTTTTTTGTTTATACTTTCTAGTTTTCTTTCTTTTTAAATAACTTAAACTACTACTAATTATACACACACAACCAGGACTACTAACACATTATTACTAGCTGTTACATCTACTATTTAATAGTGGACCCAGGGAACACTAGGACTTTTTAAAAGCATGACTCATCTGAGAGCATTAAAAAAAAAAAAAAAAAAAAAAAAAAAAAAAAAAAAAA